TTTAAACTTTGCTTAACATATACCCTCCCTTCTTGTAATGCTCTCTATCGCATTTGTGAATTCAACGCTAAATATCACCAACGATTATGCCGTGCAAATCTGCCATCTTTGTATTTAAGCAGGTGTTGGAAATATTCGGTAGGTTTTACATCTCTCAAATGTTCTGAACGAAGATCAGCCTTACTATATGGATACAATGTTGGGAAAGCACGAGTAATGTATCCGGAGGTATGGAATTCATTGATGGGATTATCATTAATATTTGGCCATGCGATTGGTGTACTCCTGGCTTGCATTCTTGCAAGAGCACCACTAATTGCATCATTTTCGCAATTAGATAGTGGAGAAACTGGAACGAAATTGCGTATAATTATATCTTCAGTCTCATTTTCATCATCATTTAAACTTTCATTTTCTGTATTTTGAACTTGTTGAAGACAATTATCAATAGGACCATTTTCAGGCAATAATTGTAGTGCTTTATTGTCAATGTCGATGTTAGCGTAATAGCGATTATTCGCTTTTAGCCATAAAAGCGTCTAAGTGATTTTAGTATGACGAACATTAAAATCTTTGAATGCTGGTCCGTTTGAAGAGTGCCGATGCATGACAAGAACATCCAGTGACGATAGGTAACGTGGTAGACATGTTACAAATTCATTCACATCTTGAGGAAAGTTGATTATATTTTCTTTATACGCGTACTGGCCTCCCCGAAGACAATATACTGAGATTACAGGAAATATTTGTGCAATCAACATTTTCTCAATCTCGGTAAGATCTCTAAGTTCATCAGGCACGTCACCTGGGTTCATGTTATTCTCAGCTGAAAATTTTTTTGGGTTACTCTTATTACTATAGCAATGACGGCATTCTTCACTGACCAGCTTGACTGATGGAAAATACTTATTACAAGTAGGACAAAGTTTGTGCTCAATTTTATTCATCTTATTTCGAAAATTTTGCAAAAGTATACGGTCAGATTCATCAATTAACGCTGAAGGCATCCTAAAGTATCATTACCTCATTTTTTAAAAAATTTTATATTTAAAAAGCTTTTTAATTTCATTAATTAACAAATACTAACGTTTGTTCATTCTCTTGATTGTTTAAGCTTAAGCGCACATCAGCAATATTTAAGGATTTTTTGCTATTCAAGACTCTCCATTTCTGCCTTTGTTCTTTTTCCTTATCCAAGCATTTTCTACGCTCTTCTGCACTTTCCGCATTCTTCTTCTTGCTTTTATTTTCGCGATCTTGAGTGAGTCGCTTTTGGCATTGCTCAGGGGTTTCGTTTCCTCTGCTTTTGCATTTTCGAAGCGCGTCATGTGATAACTCGTCTGCCATTGCCTTTTCTAAATATTTATTTCTTAATATTGCAATTAATTTTTTTTTTTTAGCCTTTATTAATTTTCTTTGCACAATTTTACAGGAATGAGTAATACCGATTCGCTTATTCGTGTAATACTGTAAAATTGAATGCGTCTCTCCCCATTGAGAGAAGGCAATATCTGATTTATGTCTGGCACTAAGTGATATTAGCTAGTAATTAGGAGAAATTCTCTTATCCACACTAGGGCAGAATATTATTCCAAATTTCGCGAGGAATTACTCAACGATGAAAATAGAAATATACACTGATGCTATATAGTACGATTAGTGTTCCACACGGATCAGATCTGATGGATATTTTCAAGGATCCGGATATGATCCGAAAATTCAGATCGGGCCCAAGTACGGATTCAGATTCGTGTTCAAACAGAAGGATCCTTGGATCCTGATGCTTTTATACATGACGAATTGAAACTCTATTTGGATCCGAATTCGACGGATCTTACAGCTATTTTCATAAATTCTGGAACAACTGAAATGATTGCTGATGACTAGAGATATTAATTGGTCCCGCAGTAATTATCAGCCAACTTTGAGCAAGACTTATAAAAAATTAGCATTTTTAACAGGTATTCATTCATCCAATAAATAAAGTCATAGAAAATTAATTTTTCTGTTACATTTTCTAAGAGTTTTATCAGTTTTTGTATTTGTTTTTGAGTAGTTTTATGGGACCGATTAGGGACAAAACAGTGTGGAGAAAGTTTAATTAATCGGTCCCATTTTAATTACGCAAAAACTAATGCAAAAACTGATAAACCTCTATTAGAAAATGTATCAGAAAAATTATTTTCTTATGACTTTATTTATTAGACGAATGCCAGTTAAAAATGCCAATTTTTTATAAATCTTGCTCAAAGTCGGCTAACAATTACTGCGGGACTGATTAATATCCCTATTGATGACCGAATCAATAACGTACCTAGCTGTAATCAATAAGTAACTGACTTCGGCTGAACTTGGAAACTTATCGATTCAGACACCGGTAATTTTTTCAGTTGTTCCAGAATTTATAAAAATAGCTGTAAAAATTGTGGATCTGATCTTTGGATCCATTTGCGGAACAAGTACGATGTTTATGAGATAAAAAAGAGTTTTATCATTTATTGATTTTTTTGCACTCTTTGAATGTGTGCCAGGTTGGTGACGCAGTTAGCCACGTAGTAGCAATAGCAAAATAACGTGACTCAACATTAAATCCATTAAAGATTAGCAATATTGTGGTAAGTTGAAACAATAATAAAAAATAAGCACAAACGGCTCTAATAATTATTATCAAATAAGCTAAGTAAAAACCCTAATCTTTGGCACCTTAACTCTAACTTAAATATTTAATCTTAGCTTATTGAATCTTATTTTAATTAATGCTAAATATTAAATTTATTATTTTGCTCTTCAAATTATCAAATTTTATATTATC